CTCACCGGGGGATCCGACCCTTGGTTTTGATGGTGTTTTAATCTTCGAGTAGTCCCCAGTCCCTAGGATTAGATGCACGGGCAGGCGTTCTTTCTCGTCTTTATCTGGCATAATTACTCCTTCAAGATGTGAGTAATTAGCGATAATCTCTTTATACTTTGGATTATCCAATGTCAACAGTTCATTTCTCTCGACTCGGGTTACCTCGGTCTCAATATGAAATTTATTACTCGTGTCGCTTATTTTTATATTATAAATTCCAACCATTTTTGTTGAAGTGCCAAACATCATTTCAACGCAACGGATTTCTTTCTTTTGGGGTTGAGCTTTTATGGTTTCAAGGAGTGCTGACGAGGCATAAGAACTTCCCGCCCCCGTATCAATTAAAGCGCGACATTTAACCCCATTTATGTCAACGACAACAACTGGATACACTACAGGCCTATTTGCATTAGTCGCGGTATTTAATAGCCTGTCATTCGTGGGCTCAGCGGGAGGCATATTCTCGCTCGAGGCGTCGCAAATCGATGTATGATGTCTACGCCTACATTTTGTACAACTAGATCGGCTGCGGCAATCGGACGCCCGATGCTCGGCCCCAGTACAATTAAAACACCTTTTCGCTAAGGTATTTTTTCCGATCAACAGAAGAAACTATTTTGGGACAATTGATTGACGCGTGGCTAATCTCATTACAGTAAACGCACCGTCTCTGTTTTGCTTCGCGTTGGCGTGCTTGGAATGCATTCATTCGACTTAAATTAGATTGCCTGTCCGATTTATCACTTGATCTATCATGCACATGCATTTTGACAGGATTTCTCTCCGTCCATTTCCTAAGCGCGTCTACCAATTTAATAAAATCCCACTGGCGCCAATCATCGTCCGTTCTGACTAAATCACCCCGTATTCCCTCTAATTTATTTAAACACATGCGAACATACCCATTTACTTCCTTTAACTTTCCCAAAGTTTCTAAAGATTGTACATTGAACAACAGTTTATCATAAAAATCATGAATCTTACCGGCATTGGATCCCTGTATGGTTGGAAGAAACATTATATTTTGTACATACGCATTCACGATCTCGCTACTGTCTCCATACTTGGTCTTGAGAATATTCTTTGCACGCTCATAGCCTTCGGTAGAAAATGGTAGTCCGTCGATGCACGATCTCACTTTTGGGCAGACTAATTCTTTTAAATAGGCGAACTTCGATACAGGTGCCACGTCTGTGTGGTCGATTTCGGCTTCGAATAGATTCCAGAAGCGCATCCAATCTAATGGTGTCCCGTTGAATTTAGTGATGCCAAGCTTTGGTAGTTTAACATTTGTACTCGCCGCTTTCTCGTGTTCCTTTCGTGCCTTCTCTAATTTCATTTCATGTTGTAATTTCTGTTCGAATTGTACCTTATCAAATTCCAGTTGTTCCTTATGGATTTCGCGTCGTGTTTCAGCTATCTTCTCCTGTTCTCGCATGGTAGTTTCTTTGTCCTCTTGTTGTTTCCATTCCGTCGTGGCTTTGCTTGCATCATTTATTTCTCTGTCCCATATCTCAAGTTCTTGATCAATATTTTCTGTCCATGTTTGAATATCCTCAGCATTGTCTCCCTTTCCAATTCTAATCGCTTGTACGTTTACTTTTAGCTCGTAGATTTCGTTCGCAGTTTTAGTTATAGTTCCCTTTTGTCGCTCGATGCTTGTTAAACTTCTATTTTCAATCGCTCGCTTGAGGGCGTCACGCGTAACTCGTACCAATTCACGTTTGTTGTCGATTTGCTTCAATAACTCATCCATTTTTCACCTATAATCCCGTCGGAGGTGCCACTTGTGTCGGGAATGCCGTTAGAGGCTAAATGCTAAGCCAACACAGTCACAATAGTTTGGGTTTTTCTCTAAATCACTTTACAAATCACTAGCTCTAAAATCACAGTCTCAACAGTTACGCTATCCCTTAATCACTCGTTATATTAAATTTGATACTCTACTTAATTAACTTATGACGCATGCATTATTTGATTGACAGTTCTTAATAACTAAATATATATTATCCTAATTAACTAATGTTACCACAATTCTCAACAACGCAATGAGGGACATAATATTCAACCTGGAAGATGAGGGTTGAAAATAAAACTGGTAGAGCTAAATACTAACTAAACGTGCATGTGCTGGTAATGTACGAGTCAAATCCAACCGCGATCAGCCCCCCCCCCCGGGCAACCCCAGGGCATTTGACTTAACATTACCCCCGTATAGGCGGGAATTTGACGGCCCGGCCGGGCATTTGACCACTTGACAACAACTTGCTCTGCAGTTTTCCCTAAAAATATGTGTACCTTCTAGCGCTTTACGAGTTTTCTATTTTGCGTCTTTTCGATAGTTTGAAAATTGCTTCTGAATCACAAATATCAATCATAGATATATGATACAATCTTTAATCTTTAATCTTTAATAAAATTATTTAAACACGGTAGCCTGTTCAGCAGATAATATTTACAGCGCTGGTTTTCAAAGGGCCGTGTGTTTACAACAATAATATAAAAGGACAAAAAGAATATAACTATTTACAATGAATTGATACGGATGAATTAAGTAATTGCCGTTTAAACGACAAAGTTGAAAGATTGTTATAATTTTCAATAGTTTCACTTGGAAGTTCGTTCCAGGACTTAGCAGCTCTATACGAGAAACTTCGTTTGAGAAAATTTGTCTTAGGTTTGGGTAGGTTCAATTTAATTTGATTGCTTCTTAGATTGTAATTGTCATTTTGACTTACTGAAAACAATTTTTCAAGGTATCGAGGTAATCGACCAGTTAGTACTTTAAATGTCATTATTAACTGTCGTTGTTTTAGAAGTTCTTCTATTGGAAGCCAATTAAGACTATCTAGCGTTTGCATGGAACGAACCTCATATGTGTCCCCTGTTATCACACGCGCTGCTCTCTTCTGCAGTATAAACAATTTATCAATTATCGAACAACATCCATCATTCCAGATTGTTGAACAATAATTGAAATGAGGCCACACTAAGGCATTGTAGATTTTTATCAGACTATCTCTATTGACAAACAATTTTGCTCTTTTCAGCAGGGCGATATTATTTGAAATTGTTTTACATTGCATTTCATTATGTTTATTCCATTTTAACTGGTCGTCAAGGATCATGCCTAGTGACTTTTTTTGGTAAACTCGCTTAATGTTGTTTCCCCCTAATGTTAGTACTGGGCTATTTTCAATTGAAGCTAAGCGACGTCTTGATCCTATTATCATAAATTCACTCTTTTTCATATTTAATGATATGCCCAGTTGAACAAAAAGAAGAACTGTCTGGCCTATTTTTGTTCTTTTTAATCTTGAAATACTTGTTAAATTTAATTTTAGTCAAAATTCGAGAAACAGGACTACTCCTATAGCAGGGCATTTGACTGTGGTTTCTGCCTGTTCGGGCGGGCATTTGACCAATTATTTTTTCAAAAGTCAAATTCCCCGGGGGTTGCCCGGGGGGGGGGGCTGATCGCGGTTGGATTTGACTCGTACATAATGTAAATGAAACAGTGTTATGAATACACAAAGTTTTTTTAAAGCAAGCATTTCCAATTCGTTCGGTAGTGGTAGCAAAAACTAAAATTAATTGACCATTTGCGTAATAGATTAAATTTTGATCTAGACAAATATTTCATCACAGCTTGAAAGAGCATCACAACATTAGTAATATTCCAAAGTTTCGTTGCGAAATGTTGTAAAATGCGGATAATATGGCCTTGTGAAGTTTGCAATTTTCAGTCATTTTAGATTACAAACGGGAAATTGACAGCCCGATACGCTTTGAGGCTGTCAGGTTCCCGTTTATAATCTAAAATGACTGAAAATTGCAAACTTCGCAAGGCTATATTATCCGCATTTTACAACATTTCGCAACGAAACTTTGGAATATTACTAATTTTGTGATGCTTTTTCAAGCTGTGATGAAATTTTTGTCTAGACTTGTTTAGATCAAAATTTTGTCTATTACGCAAATGGTCAATTAAAGACCTTTGTATTTCACTGGCATCATGACTGACATGCGCAAATAAATAGCTATAAATCAGCCTAGACCTAGGCCTTCTAGTCTTGTTTATATGTTTTTAATATTCAGCGCTTTTTCACATGAAAAGACTGGGACTAGGTGATTTGGGGGCGGGGCGAAGGAACCAAGCCTAGAAGGCCTAGTTGATTTCTCAACAACAAGGCCAAAACTGTAGTGATGGGCGATACCAGGATTTTTAATTCGATACCGATACCGATACATTTAAGATCGGTATCGGCCGATACCGATACCTATTTCGATACCAAAATAAACACAAAATTTCAATTTTCGATACCGGATGTGAGTACTTAAATTGCTAGTATCGGCTACTTTCGATACATGCCGGTCAGCGGAAAAACATTTTGCATTACTGTATGTAAAATAAATAAAGCGATAAGTCATGGCAAAAGCCCGAAACGTAATAAATATTTTCTATACATGACTTGGCGCACCACATTTGGAATATTAAGAGTTCTTTTAGTGGTTCATTAAGTCTTATTCAACCAAGAAGTGGAATTAAACAAGTCGTTTAAAAAAGGGTGCAAGTATCGAACGATACCACGTCAGTAATCGATACCGATACCGCTGTTTGTGGTATCGCTGGTATCGAATACTGAGTACTCGGTATCGCCCATCACTACAAAACTGCCCTGAAACTGCCCTGGTTGCGAAATGCCCAATTATTGCGTTCTCAAACAGAAGTATTTGCAACTTAACGGCGAATTTAAACGGATACAGGTAAAATAAACTCATTTATAGTATAAACTTACTACTTTTATTTGTATACACGTCTAGAAAATCGGGTTTTTTATCATAAGTTTGAAGCAACACTATTATTATGTTGACAAGGTGTAGCGAAAGCACAAAATGAGTCAAAATATATACCAAAAGTAGAATCTTTCATGAAATTTTGTCTTATACACAACTACATTAATATATATTTTATAAATTTTGGCAAGAAGCAGTCTTGTGTTTGTAAAATATACAAACACATATACAATTATAATTTATTAAATAAAACGGATACATATATTATTAGCCCGTACAGTACTGTATATAAAACCGTACATTGTTTACAAATGGTATATCCGTAATATTTGAACAATAATTTCAAAATCCTCATTCCCAATTCGCAAATATAGTTATTCAAAGCAAAACAGTAGATTGTCTTGCGAATAAAAGTTATTATTTTGTACTTTCGCTTCACCTTGTCAACATAATAATAGTGTTGCTTCAAACTTTATGATAAAAAACCCGATTTTCTAGACGTGTATACAAATAAAAATAGTAAGTTTATACTATAAACGAGTTTATTTTACCTGTATCGGTTTAAATTCGCTGTTAAGTTGCAAATAATTCTGTTTGAGAACGCAACAATTGGGCATTTCGCAATCAGGGCAGTTTCAGGGCAGTTTTGGCCTTGTTGTTGGGAAATCCACTAGGCCTTCTATTTTTCCGCTTGCGTCAGGCTTGTGTCATTCCTCCGCCCCGCCCCCAAATCACCTGGTCCCAGTCTTTTCATGTGAAAAAGCGCTGAATCTTAATAAATAAAAAAAATATAAATAAAAATAGAAGGCCTAGGCACAAAATAGAGAAGGGCAGAAGGTTCACTCGAGTCGGAACCTTTGAAGTTTTTGTGCCGGCACATGTTACTTCCGGATCTTGGCCGCCATGTTGAACAGTGCTCTCACTTTTAAGGAATTATCCTTAAAAATAGGAATTTTGAAGAGATTTTAAGGAATTTTAAGGATTTTTTTAAGGAATTTAGGTTTTTGAG